GAGGGTAAAAAAAAACTGCGTCGCCGCACCACTTTTGGAGCCAGCTCCTGACCAGACACCGCAGGGACTTTTTTTTAGCCTTAGTACTATTGGTTGGCACCTGGTCATTGCGTTAGTTTCAGTGATGTAAAGCTTAACTCTGGTCAAAGTTAATGATATTATTTTGGCTTTGAGTCAGGAATGTTAATTTGATACTTCGTTTTACCTTTACCCCGACATCTATATTCCCAGACTGTGTCTGGATTCGAACCAACGACCTCTTGCTCATTAGCGCGGACATTTCGTCAAGGCGCGCGTGGCGATCGGTATATATATGTGTGTGTAAAGAAGACTATGGCAAGTTTACGGGTGGGCCCTCAAATTTTCATAGGCTCTAATAAACAGAGCGCCTACTAGATTATCAAACCCAGGAACAAATAAAGCATTTCTTTACACCTTCTTCAAGGCTAAAATGCTTCGACCGAGTAGTCACTTGGTAGAGTTGTGAGGTTGTGCTTTTGGAGTGTCGCATTGACTTCCTTAATGTATGAATCCAGCAACACCCGGGTTTTGGCAGGGTACGGGTTCTGGCGAAGGTACAACCTCCCTCCCAGGTGCTCAGCAGGAAGGATGCTGCCTAAAAACCTGGAGGTAGACGACGGGCACTCCTGCACGGCGCAGAGTAAGCGTTCCTGCGGCACCGGGACGTCTAGGAACTTGACAATCTTGGCTAGTTCCTCATATGTGTTTCTCTGACGGTCCTCGTAGTGTGACACCATAATCCGTTGTGTTTTGGTGATCCATTGAATGGCCGTGTCCCTCCATCTCCGGGCTTCTTTCAGAGTATAGCGTTCCCAGGCTGGCGAATAAAAAAGCAGGATCAGTGAACGTTCTACGACTCACAGTATCTCCACCATAAGCAATTTAGGTTAAAGAGCCGATGTGATCGAAATCTTGTTTCCTTTCATTAGGAGTCTGGTCCCCAGAACAAAAGATTCCGACTTTTTTGAGAATTTAAGGGCGAGTAGTGCCACTGCCAAGTGTCGATACCAGAGGCCTCGTCTTCAAAATTTGTCCAAAATTGACTAGATTTTATTAATCTATTTGCGATCGTCAACACTCTGAATACTTCTAAGCAGTGCTGCACATTTTCCAGCCCACATTCACCATCTTGGAAATAATTCTCGGCACTCTGTTAGAAACTTAAAATATACAGGGAGTATACTGCAAAATCCTTGCTGAATAAAATATACAAATTGAAGAGAGTCTGACGTTTCGATCCAAGTAGAACCGTCCAAAAAGGCAGCAGTTGGCATTTGAGCGGTATTTTGCTAGGATCAAAGTACCAGGCCTTCTATAAACTTTAGAAGTCAATTTTATCTTCACCTAGCTAGAGTGAAGATGTCTTGACGGGGCATCCCGCAATTAACACATTTATCCATACGCAAGGGGCAAGAGGTTGTTCCCCGGCTTGTACAAAGGTTTGTCCGTTTCAAGATTCAAGGGGGGCACATAAGGACACCGAACTGCACTGGAAAGGACATGCCACACCTCAGATTCCAATTACTTGACCAAACAGGTGACGGAACGATTTCCAAAGTAGGTGGGGTGCATTTGAGAAGCCATCAGGAATATGAGGCAATAAATAACCTGCCAAGTGTATCTCAACTTATCCTCATATCGAAAAAGTTGGGGGCGGGGGTAGTTGCCCCTCCCTCCTCCCCCTTCCCTGCTTCCGCGACTCGGACACGGAAGGTGTGAAATCGACTCGGAGAGAAGCATCAAAGTCGGTCAAGACTTGGTCCAATACTCCAAGGCTGCCAGGCAAAGTTGTTTGCGGCAGATGGAGTTTATGCAACCAGCAAATGTCAGTAATGGGATATTCCAATTAACGTTAGTCTCTACTTTTATTACTTTTTGCTGTTGTTGGTACTTAGAAACACGGGTGTGTTATTACTGGTCAGATTACCTTTTGAGCGGATGAACTTCAGCGAATCGTTTACAGTTCCGTTGGTTTCCACCGTGTGTATCCGGAATATCTCGGAGACAATAGAGTGGTAAGGGTTCCTCACGAGCAAAATGGTGCGCTCGAACGACTGTATGTGTGACAGGGTGTAAAAGTGGCTCTTGACGCATACCGTCTGGTTCCGACGATAGTCCATTCTTACCGCGGGAAAGCCTGCAAAATGATCGATCCCCCACAGGTGTGCTTTGTATAATTTTTACCAACATCAGCGAATTCAAAGCTAAATGCCCGTTTCAAAAGGACGCAAACTTTACTCTGGTGCCTTTATTGAAACTTTCTACTTCTCTCAAGATGTAGTTATAATGTTATATACCCTTCTTTGTTATAATCTTTTTAATTCTCCACACTTTTCTGGAAATTCTAAATTTGTTTAGAGGTTTTACTGTTTGAACCATCATCGGTTCAAATCATGATATGCTTAAACCATCATTTACTCATAAAAACATTATTTGCGATAAAATTTTGTTCACTTTCATATCATGTATTGAAACAAGTGAGCAAAGACATCAAAATCTAAGACAGCAAAAGATCCCAAATTCTAGCAAATCTTGCAGCTGAAATATATGATGTACAGAATTCCAAAATGTCAGAAGAGCGTCAAGAAATGGTTTGAGTTACGATGCTACGTTGGTAAACAATCCAATAGTGGCTTGTTTTGACAATCGAGACATAAGTGTGTACAGAGTGACTTACGTTTATCGAAAAACGAGAACAGTTTTTCACGTGGGTGGACAGTTCCAGTCAGGAATCCTGTCGCCCTCTCGATAAGAAGCCGCGTCCAGGAGCTTCCAGAGCGAGGGTAGCTGGCCAGTGCTATCAGCGGCAGGCTGCCGACAGGATTAAGCCTTACGTCTGAACACCTTGTGTCTGTTTCACGTGACGGGATACAAATGTCAATACATGTACTCGATCTCTCATCTATGGTGCTAGAAAACATCTCTTGTACTAATTGGTTGATATCCATGTGACATCTTTAATCCCTACTTATCGATGAATCTCCAGATTGAAACATTTCTACGTGCTGCTGCGACAGAAACGGGTCAATTTTCCGGAACGAGAGGCTCCCTGATGTGCACACATTTCTTTTAAAGGGGACATTCAAAACACCGAAAGGGTAATCTTCATTTCAAAATTTAAATGGGGGGGAATCAGGAGCCTCAGTCAGCCCCATGAGGCTCCTTCCCTTGTACGGGTTTTGTGGCGTGATAGTTGAAAACAGCGCAAGGATTCTAACATCTTGCTGCCCTAAATTTCCGTTTCTGTTGTGACTTATTGTTGCATGCAAATTAGGTACCTCCTAACACGCCAATGAGGAGACCTTTCCATAATAATGTTTTCAATGAGCAAATTTGGGGGACAGAATTGTAACAGGAAAAATGTAGCATTAGAACAGTGTTTTATGATTGACATTTTGGCCAAAGCATTCCCAGTTGTCCAGAGTGACTTATGCAAAAAGTTTGTACTGTTCAATACTCCTAACGCAGCAAGGATATCACGAAATTTCCACATGGAAGAACTATGTTAAAACAGATAAGAAGAGGGAGCAAAAAGTGAGCAAAATTCTCACAAGGACCCATGAAAATATGCATTAAACACGACAGGTGCAAAGGTATCAGCACCTGGTACGGATGTTCTGTACAGAGACATGTACTCCAATCCTCCACAGCCTTGCTGGGACCGCCCTGGACAGGAGATGTTGCAGTTGGCGCTCTCCGTGTAGTTAAGCAGGGCCGTCTGGCCCCTGACATCGCTGCAGAAACACTCCATGCCCCGGCTGAGGGCTGCATACGTAAAACTCTGCACAAGACAAGATGAACGATAATCCAAGCCGCTTTTATGGCTGGCAAAAGCAAACGAACACGAGAGTCAGTTTTCGACGTCACATCAAACACTCGCGCTGCGAAATTTCAATTTTCATTCATTCATTTTAGCGCGCGAATTTTGCTACGAATGTTTAGTGACTTCAATTTGTTTCGCTTTCTCATTGGCCTGACGTATGAAACGAATTTTAGGCTGCGTTTCAACCTGCTCGTACACAGGGCTTGAGTCCAGTTGCTCGTTGGCTCCACACACGTGGTTTATTTTTGTCTAATAATGCAGACAAGCCCTGAATGACTCATTCAGACGTGGTTTCAACTGCCAGGGGTCTGCAGGGAGTTAAACCAAGGGGAGATTTAAAACAAAATTTGCAGAGAGCCAAAAATGGGGGGTGTGTGTGTTTTTGGTGAGGGGGTGGCTTCATTTTTTTTTAACTTTCATGTAACCTTTTATTGCCTTTCTCAAGGTTGAGGCTACATTTTTTGTGATTTCAAAAGACTCGAAGGAAAAGGAACAGATACTAGACTTAAAAATCACCTTTCTCCAATTTCTTTTCAAAACAAAAATGGTCCTTTTGGGAATGGCCTTTATTGTTCACCCCCTATCCGCTTTCAGAAGTAGCCTGCGTGAGCGTGCTTGACTGGCAAATGTTAGTATTAATTTAAGATAACCCCAAGGGTTCTTTTCAGACGTCTTTAAGGTAAATGACACTACGTGCAGTTGAAGGCTGGGGCTTTGTTCCTGTGACCGTAGCTTTAAATTCAAACCACACAACAGAGGTCCATATACTCCCGGGTTAAAATCAGGAAGAGAGAAAATGAAATAAACAGCTTGAACAATCGAGAATCAAGACAAACAATGAACAGCCTAACCCTTGTACTCAGGGTTCTGTGCTTTTAGATTCTATGAATCCGGAGTAAACTGTTAAAATACAGTGACTATTGCTGATGAGATCACACACACGACTTTTTTCAGTGGCATAATTCGGTTGAAATTACTTCACTGCACTGGTGTCAAAATCAACACTTGGTGTTTTCAGATGACCACAGCAAAATGTGTTACTTTAACACCCACAGTGTTACTTTACACACCTACAAGTGATGCAGTGACCTGGAGTGTTAAAAGTAACACCAAAAGTTTTAAATAACACCAAAACTTTTAACACCGGTGAGAAGTTTTGCAGTGGTCCTCTGATAGCACCATTTTTGGGCAATGTTGGGCACTGTGTGCACACACACTTTTCCTAGGGGCACCAAAAGAAAAAAGCTGTGGTTTACATATGAGTTGTATGCAGCTTCACATGCATATGGGGGGGGGGAACCTAGGGGTGGGGTCTCTCACTGGAAAGCAGGCATCGAGTAATCGTTCCAAGTTTTTTCAAGGAGTGGTTTGAATGACTTACCTCAGCAATGCACCTCCTCAGACAGACTTCGACGGTCATCTTCGGCGATTTCTCGACCAGGCCACCAGTCACCACCTCCGACAAGGATACCTCGTCCTTTGGCCTGGGCACACAGCCACGGTAAACTCCGGGCATGTCGACGGTCACCCCCGGCGGTCCCATCACCCACGTCTGATTCGAGACTATAACGAGTCAAATGGGATAGCAAGCTCACGTTAGCGAGCCTGTACAAGCTGAGGCAAAGTTCTGGGAACCCGACTGCAAAATCGTCTGACAATTCCCTGAACGACGCAGCCAGCTTGGCGTGTACTGAAAAAGGTGGCGCACAGTTACAAAATATGTTTAAGACCGGTCACGTGACGGACTCTTGACCAGCAGGAATGGCTGAGCAGTGTCTTATGTATTTATGAATGGAAAGTATGATAATGCTGTCTGACCTTTACAATAACACCGTCCTACCGCGGTGAACGTACTTTCCTCACTTTAAATGCACTTTATCCCTAACAATCCTCAATCCTCCAATTTTAATGTGATTTTTACATACACCAGGGGGCTTAGATTCAAAGTATATATGTAGATTTTTTATATCCAACTGAGGGTAAAAAAGATGAAGGTCACATGGTTCTCAGCCAACCTGTGTTATATTCATCAAATATGTAAAACGTATCACATACGAACAAAGCAACCAACAGATCTAGAATTACAGGAAATTAACTAAAAACAACATATTAATCTTTGCTAATTTCAGATATAAACTTTGATCTTTCTAACTCGAACAATGAAGGCAAACTAATCTAAAATACAAATTGCAAAACCAAAAAGAAAATTAACACGGTCAACCGCACATTACATCGAAAGTATACACATCTTCTTGCAACTCAAAACTCTGTTGCCGTGAGATCTCACGGATTTTGGTGTGTTGTAAATGAGACCCTTCGGGCGTCGTGGTAACATTTCCATGGTAGCACTTCACTACTTTGTATATCTGTACATATTGTTTTACATTAATCCATGCAGCCCAATAACGTTCATCGAGTCACTTTGTTGATTCAACTTAAAAATATTTAAAAGCCTGGCTTTTTTATCTCAGTCATACAGTGTGACGTACTTTCAACTTGAGTAAACTTTTTGTGCATGCATTTAACTAAATCAAAAACAAAAAACAGCCTGTAAGGCACTAACAACGCCAACAACACTTAACCCTATTTAATCTACTGTTTAATTCCATCTCATTTAAGCCTCCACTTATCCCCCTATCCCCTTTATCCCTCTGGTGTCGCTGGAGACCCTCAGGAGGCACTGCATGGGCATGTTCATTACATTGGAGTGGAAGGGTTGTGCCTTACAACACAACTCGCTGTGTATGTTTACCTTACTCTTAGGCGGGATGAGGGATTTTTATTCGAAGGCCGGTTCTCAAGAGACTCCCCAACGGAGTTTTTGGGTTGCAAATCACGAATGTTCCACTGCGTCTGGAGTGCAGCAGCGGGGGGGGAGGGGTTGGCATGATGACAGAATGAGAGCGAATGGAACAATACCTTTGGATTCGCTAAACAGACATTGACTGGGTTTTGTTTATCAGAAAGTGGACCGGATGTGGTACTGTTAATTTTGTTTTATTTAGTTATTTCTTTACCGTCACTGCTCCTGCATTAGAGTAGTGAATGAGTACTACCAGTATTACAATTGTATGCATAAAGTGTGACATTACTTCTGCCCGAGTCAGCCATAATGATGTGTTTGTCATCTTTTTTTCCCATCTATTAACCTTGCCAGAGACCATCCTGCACTGTTACTTGCGGTGTTTGAGTACCAGCCTTCATTTCGTTCACATGTGCATACGGGAAGGTAATCATTAAACGTACGTTACCAGGCCTACTCCAGTTTGTGCGTGTACGCTCTCAAGCGTGTAAATGTACATAGTTTGCGCATCATTAGCACGTGCGAGCAACAACTGCAAACTGCCCAGACCACTTTCAAGCACGCTGGATTCAAATACACTGAACTCCACATATTATGGCTTCCTGAAAATAGCCCAGCAAAAATATGCAAAATATTGAGACACTGCAAATATTTCCAAAGATAGTTGCAATGTTTGTTGCCCCTTACAGGATCACCATAGTTTGTTCTCGGCACTCGGAACCTCGTTCTCGTGTTTAATGGACACGAGGTTTGGATCAGCCTACGAATTCTGCGGGTCTGCGAGCAAGAGTGCGCGCCTTGGCTATCGTGAAACTCAAGGAGAGAGGCATGACGCAGACTTTGAACTGCCCATATTTGTCTCATCGAGTGCTTCCTTGTAAGATGATACATAGTTCAGTTGAGGGGAGATTGGGTTCGAGGTTTACATTTCTGACTCAGTTGACAGCTCAATGAGAAAACTGACAAAAAACATCCAGTTATACTTATTATTGATCCGCGGACTTTATCAACTGCAGTCATAAACCTACACAACTAGGCTTTCGCAATGATAAGAGACTTCCAAACGTTCGTGTAAATGACAACTGCGATCGATACCCTAGGTGCAGGTGCATTCATAAGCTGTCGACACAACGGAAAAGCACGGGCACGTTCGATTACTTGATTAAATACTTTACGTATGTATGCGCACCACAAACAACAAAGGTATAGAGCGTATGCCAGTACCGGCGTTCGTATTGCGCTACATTAATAAATAAATGTGCCGGGTTTATATGCCCACCAAGGCAAAGGCATTTCGCCGAAAGACGTTTCTATCTCACAAAAAGCGAAGGAAGGAGCCTTGTTTTGCTCAGGACCCTTAAGAAGAGCAGTTTTTAACTGACAAGGCTACCCTGTGGCAATAAAACAGAATGAATTTAAAGAACGCTGGAATGTTACTTTGGAAATGCCATTCATCGTTGGCTTTGAGTATTCGTGGATGCAATGGTTGGTTTATTTTCACACGCACATGCCCCCGTGGAATCTCAGCTTTGGCGACAAGAGGCAACTGCGAGTTGACAGACGACACTGGCAAAGCAAAGACAGTGGAAATAACTGGTGTGCTTATGTTCGTGTTTGCCATTTGTTTTCACAAAATACCGTGGGAATTGACCCGGTGTCCTAATTTTAAAGCGATAACACACTTTCCTTAAATTCGTGCCGAAACCATTCAGTGCAATAGCACAGGTTTTGATTAAAGGTTAATTGCGATTGGAAGCAAGTCAGTAAAAATGCGGAGATTTTCTATGTAAAAAGTAGGAGCCCCACACACGGACACCACCAATTTCCCCCTGCAGTAGTTCAGTAACCATCCGAGAGTGGTAGCATTTTCCTAAAAAGCCAACTCTAGCACTGAAAATGTTGAAGCATTCACTTAAAAAACACTTGGAATTCTAGTCTGGCAGTCTGACACGGTGTCAGTGATGTCTGGGTACGGGAACTCTTATCGCTGTTTTTAGACTGAAAGTCTACCGGCTTAGCTGTTTTTTGTTCGTAGTAAGAGTCCAAAGATTGCCCACCTTTATAATATGAAGAACCGTTGAAAGCAGGCAGCCTGCGAGGAACCAGCCGATGCGCACGCGCTGATACCGTGCTGTTGGTGGATTTTGTTGCTGTATCCTTCTTGACTTCCCATCGCCGCAGCGGCTGGACAGTTTCCGACCGCTGCTCGACTCCTTGCGAAAGATACAGCAGGATGAAGCCAGATGCCAACCCGAGCCCGATGCAAACGGGTCCCAGATACCTCAGCGTCATAGTTCTGGGGGAAAGTGACGGCCGGTGCCGAGCTTGGAAATAACATACTCGGTTTGCCCCGTGAGCGATGAGCGATGACACTCGGAGGCTAATCAAACAAAGAAGACGGGGCAGCTTAAGTCGCACAGTTATGACCAAAGATTGTATAGCGCCGCGTACTGGCGTCAGATGGAGAACTTCACAGCGAATTCCGGTACACGAAAAAACGTTGTAAATCGTTAGGGCTCAATTTGAGCTAGCAAAGTTTGTAGAAAGTTCCAGTACATAGGCCATAACAGTAGGAGGAATGACATCTTGAAGTTTGTAGGGCTTAAAAATAACGATGTGGCTCAATCTTATTTTGTTCATGAAACAGGAGGACTAAAAGTTCATTATTAAAAGTATCTTAATGTAAAACAGTCTACGTGAAATATGACATTACTATAAAAATGAAAATACCGTAAATGATCCCTGCCAGAACGGGGGAGAAAAACTCCTGCCCCTGGTTGTCAATCAGTAAACATTGACAGAAAAAATTGTTATATGAAATGTAGCGATCGGACAAGTCCATTCTCATCGTCTTCGGTTTTGCAAATCGGGACAAAACATTTGTAGGGGTTGGCCACTAGTGGGCAATCTTCTTGAAGAAAACAATGTTTGAAGACTCCCCTGTTTTCTGCTGCTACTACCTACCAGAGATGTACATTACCGCGTCCATCTCTTTCGATTTTAATTAAGGTAACTGTGGTTTTTTCAATAAAGAAACAAACCTAAAGACACACAGACAAATGAATTGAGCAATCAACAAGAACACTACGTAGGTAATGCACAATTGTGCTCTCATCTACATGTAATGGCAGTACACAATGGTTAACATTGACAGTAAATCGCCGGACAGTGGCATACGTGGTATTCTTGCTGACATACCCTGGTGGGCGTGCCTGGCGCCTGCGTCTTTGCATTAACGTTCACTGCGCAAGCGTATTACTTGCTCGAATGGCGCCCCAGTGATTACACCTTTTGGCAGAGTTCCCCATCTCGCGCCGCTACATGGCGCTATATAATCTTTGGTTAATGTGTCCCACAGTAACGAAGCTGTTCCATTAAAGGCGCCATTCCATATATGTACGTTTTTGCAGTGCGTTGCGTACACAATGCGTTCATGCATTTCACTCTCACGGACCCAAAATCGACTCTATTAACACAGCATATGGTAGCAATTTTGACTGACACGCAACGCTTGGCGCATGTGTAGACGAGCATGTGGAAAGACGCCATAACGCGTATGCACCAGTGGCACAACCAGAACGTATTAGTTTACAAAATGGCATATCGATCGAGCTATTACTTCGTTACTCTTGCGGAAAAGACCTACAACGTAAGGAAGCAATGCAATGTTTCCCGCACTGCATTGTGGTTGAAAGGTGGGGATAGAAATCAAAGATGGCGGACACGATCGTCAGTTAAGCGAGCCTTCGCGCGACTTTAGACGGAACAAACTTGCGGTCTCGTGGAAGCCTGAAAAATGCAGCTCTGGCGTTCGTCGTGTGCTTGATACACGCAATGGCACACAAAAGTTAACACAAACCATTTTGAAAAATTCAGGCTTTCTCAACCTCGGGATCTTTTTGACAATTTTCCATGTGCATGATGTAGCAGCAACAGCACACGTACTATCGTCCCCACCTTTCACCCTCAATGCTCCACGATAGACAGTGCGTCATGCCATGATTATTTTAGGCCTATTAATTAAAGAACGCCTTCGGAGAGAGGCCCAACCGGGCATTACCTGCACGAGTGTAATAGCTGTATTTTTTCCGCAACAGACGGCCAGACGGAAGAGCAGATGGAAGAGCGTACCAAGTAAGATAATGACAAGTCGTCTCGGTAGAGCCCTTCCCGGAGTTTTACCACCCTGTGTTTTCACGGTTCCTGATTCACAGTGTCTTCTATAACCTCGTTTATCTATTGCTTGCTGTCGAGTAAAATTCAGGAAACTACACTATATATCGGAATCTTTATAAGGTGATGAGGAATCAAATGGCTCTAGGCCTAGAGGATCTGAGCCAACTTCTTGTAGGAGCGGTGTCGGAATGATTTTCCAAAAGCGTGTGTTGGGGGAGCATTATTAGCCATTAACAGACCTATGTACTTATGACGTCACCATTTGTTTACATGTGCACTTTACTATGGGGCCCGTTCATTAGCAGAGTTGCTGACTCAAGTCATGTGACTTGGACTTGAGTCGGACTGGAGTCGCTATTTTTGTGACTTGACTTGGACTTGCAAAACATTGACTTGTGACTTGACTTGGACTGACCAAAAATGACTTATCACCCCAGTCAGAGGCTACTGGACCGGCCCCCATGGCCCCCATATATTTTTAATGAAGCTATTCAGTTTACCCTCACATGCAAGAAAAAAAACAAAAAAAAACAAAAAAAAAAAACGGACTTCAGATTGCGCGGCTTCTATTCCACTCAGCTGCAGCTGTAGATCAGGGGAGTATGCATATCATATCATGCTGCTGCCTCGCGTTTCTGTTGACGCGTGAATAGGATAAACAGCGCCCTCAATATGTCATCAATTCACCTCAACGCTTGTTTTCCACCCCGATATGTGGTAAACTTTAAGAATAGTAATCACAACGCAAGCGAAAAGGGGAATTATGAAGGGATCGTCAAAATAATTGGAGAAAAGTTGTGCAGCTGTTCGAAATTCATTACTCGTAACTTCAAAAGCTGACGCCTGGTTCTTTTGGCTTATTACAACTGGACAAAATAATTTGTAGCTTGACTTGTACTTGGAAAAAGAGACTTGGGACTTCTTTGACTCGTTTTCAGACCCCTTAATGACTTGTGACTTGACTTGACTTGCCCTGTGGCCAAATGCCCTGTGACTTGACTTGTGACTGGACCTAATGACTGGTGATTTGACTTGGACGCGCATATAATGACTTGCTGCCACCTTTGTGAACCATTAGGCCCAGCTCATTTAGGGTCTTTGGCCACCCATACATATTTCTGGCAAAATGAGAATGGTCTACAGGCCCTGCAAAAAAAGGGGGGGGGGCAGCTGCCCCAGTCACATAAGTGGGACCTGCCCCCCCCCCTTCCACGGCCAGTGCTTCTTTGCAAACATATCAGCATGACAAAGCAAGGTGAAATACTGGCGTGGTATCACGTTTTTAAGAAATGGCACAAAGAAACGCGTCTTCCTTTTTTATTAAGTAACCATGCTATTGCCATAAAGTACATGTACAACAGTATTTTGAATGGTTTTGTCCTTGCACTGACACACGTTTTCACCTCGCTCGAGAGTTAGCACAGAAAAAAAGACTCATACGCTTACCGGGGTGGGTCTCGAACCCGCCACATCCTGCTTACCAGTGCAGACGCAGCCCTGCATGCATGTATACCTTTTTCTTAGTTAATAATAAGCACTTGTTTCTTCACAGTGAAAACTGAAATAGCTATTTCTCCCCCAAATATCATTTTGAATAAGCTCGAAGCCACATTCGGTTTTGAACCCCCCCCCAAAAAAGCTGGATACGCCGCTGCTTCAGTCTATCACCAGCTGCAGGATTCAACGTTATCGTGGCTCGGGAACCAGGGTAACTGCAGGTACCCTTCCCCCCGTGATGCTGAAAGGGCTGTGTGTTACTCCCCAACCCCTACAAGCGAGAGACGTTGCACAGGAATTGGACCATTTGACTTCAGAAATGATACTAGAACCCCAGGGAAGAATTATTTTACGGATGGAAAAAAGAAAAGCAGCGTGATCACTCAGTCTGCTTATTTAAACAAACAATCACGTTACAAAATCATCATGACTATTATACCGCTTCAGTAAAAGCAACACCAGCTTTTTATTAAAGCACAAACATGTCTCTCAAAAATTTAATTTGTCAATGAGACATTACAAAAAAGCACGCTACCTCTGAACAGAAAAAAAATCGACCGAGATAAAAAGTGACGTCATTTTACGAATTTAGTCTATCAATGGCTTTTTTTTGTAAAAGGGTTCCCCTTGTGATTCTCCTGGCAATATACTGTCCTATAGAATTGCATCTAATCCTAATACCGAACGAAACTAAAAAAAAAAATAAGAGCCAATAAAAAAAGGCATGACGTAATTCTTTTATGACATATTATACGTGGGGTATAAGTCATCTCTGTAGAATACAATGTACCTGAATCGAAGAGAAAAATGGTAAGTGGTAAATGCATAACAGCCTTTTATAACAAAATAAAAATTGTGTCATGGTTGCACTGTAAAATCAGCATTTACCGGCCACATGTACGAGCACATCAGTCACTTTTACTCTGGGTCAACCTTTTTTCAGGTTCTTTTCTGAAAATGAGAAGAGAATAGGAAAATGACGGTAAATAGAGAGTAATAAGATTTTTTCATTGCATCTTTTTTGTTTCCAGGGTGATCACAATAATTATTGGCTACTACCTTTGCGGCGAGTAAATTTGTAGTTGGGTTGATTTACACTGGACATTCAATGAACGATTGCTTCCCTGACAAACAAAATTTGGCATTCTCTTCTTCAAAGAGGCATTTATAGCCTTTAGAACACGTTTTGATCAGAATGTTTTAAGTAGCTTTCCTCCGTCTACGGCCGTGATAGAGCTCATTAAGGTCGAGAACCACCCCACTAGGCTCTCGGCTGAAGAACTAAGATAAAGCTACCTGAGGTCTATAGCTTAACTGCTAGTGATAAAACGAGAGTCTAACTCGTAATACCCAATATCAACATCTTGTCTTACTTTTCTTAAATCCATCAAGTGATGGTAGTAAGAGCAAAGAGCAGGCCGAAAAATGACCTGGCTTTACGGGTGTAAAGACGGGCAAACGAGTGCAGTAATACGCATAGAGAATACAGTAAGCATGAGACAAGGTATATAGAAACTGGCAAATATGCAAAGCCTAACTGATGCTATAATGCGATGCTAGTCAAACAAAGCCATGAACAACGCGATCTACATCGCTTTCCTACTGTGTTTGGTGACCTAGTCTACTGATCGCTTTTGTTGCCGCAAGGTGTTCTGAAAGCCGTGCCACACTTCCCTTGAGCGGCCTCTCTCACAAGCAGTCCTTACATATTTAGTGCGGACTGCACAAAGGCCAAGACCAGGATCGGCGCCAGGAACGGCTGGAGAGAGCCAACGCCGTTGCAGCCGTCCTCGTTGCAGAAGCACATGTCACCGTTGATGGTGATAGTCAGTTCACCGACAGATGGCGCACCAGAGGACACCTGTTCAATCAGGCGTCGCATGTACTTGGTGGCCTCATCTCCGGAGAAGCAGCGGTTCGGTGGGGCAGCGAAGTTCACAGGCACAGCGTTGCAGTCACGGATCAAGCCGTTGAAAGAGACCTTGTTGTCTGGAATAATAAAAAGTAACAAACTGTAACGAGAAAAACAAGTACATGTAGTATCTTCCGAGTTCATTCAGCCGCCCGAGATTGCGCCAAATCCTTTGATTTGTTTTTCACTGCAAATTGGCACGTGATGCGACTAGGGTGTAAGAGTGGAACTATCCTGTATTCCGCCGTTTTCCATTTTTTGAAAAGTCTCGTTCGCAAACAAACAGATAGGCCTATGCTTCCTGTGACTTGTAACGTCAAACAGAATTCTTCAATCAGGACGGATTTTCAATCGCCCACTCTCTCATGCACCCAACATCTTTATTTGTTTTTACTTTGTTGTGACCGGTTTTCATTTCCTTTTTTTCACGGGTACACATTCGGTAGGATGTCGATACATGTCTTTGCGTACATGTACGTCAATCATTTCTGCGGTTCTTGTCTGCCTCTGCAAGAGCCTTCGTTTTGATCTGAACAATATTATTTACAACATTAACAGGCTAAACAAACAATGTTATTTACATTGCATATTGGGTATAAATGGGAATGTGGCACTGAGTATGTCGGATTGCTTTCAACACAATGATTATTCACTTCCTAAAAATCAAAGTCTGGACCCTGAGTGTTTGGAATGACCTCGACGCCAGTGCTGACTGTGACTCAGGACAATGGTAGCTTATTGGACAAGGATTGTGTCAAGTGCAACCAGGCCACTCACGGCTGAGTAAATGGGGTGAAATTCAGGATGTCAGTTGGAATGCACAATTTTGTATGAAGAGGCACTGAAAACAGACAAACTGGGCTTGTATTGCGTTGATTACCGATGATTTCAAACGGGGAAGGGGCCGCCCCTTGAGCACACAACCCCGTTTTTACAGAGCAGCTTTAATCACTACAAATGAAAGATCAATGAAAATTTACTTCTCTTTTGTGTGTCTTGGAGAAAAAATAAGTCAGGGAGATTCAAATGCATTTTTTGAGGAGATATGTAACACAATCCTTTCACTAGTAGGCCTACAACGCCTGGAATCGCCAAGATTCCAATGCCCCAGATTGCTTGATGTGCATATTCCAGAAGTATGGCTCAAGGAAATATACTTAATGTGATATAATAACGGGAAATAACCAAAAGAGTTTGTCTTACATTTGACACACATCTGTTTTGCAGTTTGCGTAGAAGTAACTGACGTAGTGATTACGGTTCACCAAAAACTTTGGTAGTGCCACTTATGACTGTGAATGTGCACGGTAATTCGGATCTGAGACCGGTTGGCTCCTACCTGCCTCGACCTTGGGATAATAAATGCCGCAGACGCCGCACAGCCTTGTCTGCAGACGCGTTAAGGATGTACAGTGAACTGAGTCAAGCCTAAATAAAAGCAGTGTAAAATCAATAATGTTCAGGGCTCAATAAAATGCAAGCTGACATCACTGGAGTTTCTCACACAAAAATGAAGTTATTGGCTTGACCTAAGTCTTTCCATATCTGTGTAATTTTTGGTGGATTAAAGTGTAGTTGCAGTACTTTTTTCTTAGACAACATTCTTCTGCGGCTTTGTACTTTTCTTCAGTGCATGGGAACTCTTTTACACTTTCATTTGGCTGAATGCACTGAAAGTACACATTTTTAAAAACTTAAAATTCTCTATGCTCTCCCAGAAACCTGAGGGCGCTGTGGTTGTCATGTCATCGAGGGAAGACATAGTTCATTGCAAGGGTTTTCTTATTAAACCTGTGAACCCAGAATATACTTACATTGTCTACTGAAAACATTTCTGAGACAAGCACTAGTGTCCACTTATTACTACTGACATAAATAACAACGAATCAGCAAAACAGCAAAAACAAAAAGAGAAAAAAGGGTTCGGTAAAACCTACAAAAATGCATGACGTTTTGTGTACAAACCAGTGTAACATTTGGGCTTTCTTTCTGGTATGATATCACAGTTTTGCTTATAAATGTGGAAACTTCATTAGCATAAAAACCAAAAGGACAGCAAAATACCCTTTGAAAGAGTGAAATCAAAGTTGGAAACTCAGATAACTGACACTGAAATGTGCATTTGAAGGTCTGTATTAAACAAATTGATTCCAGCTACTTTTTCTTTCAAAAAGAATCTGCGGAGGAACATTCTATGTTAATGAGCTCAGTAGAAGTTACCACTCGAATGAGTTCACTGCACTCTTAAGCCTCCCACGGTAGGCAAATTCCGTTTAGCCGCTTGTAAACGGGGGCAGTCCAGACTTTGGTCAATTAAAACTTTCCTCTGGCAAGTGAATTAACATACCTTTAAATAAATACTTTCGACCAAAAATGCAGTGGGAGTTCAGCCTTTAAGCCCAAGTGAAAGCTTAACCCAGATTTTTAAGGGCAGACGAGGAGTGTCTGCTGTGAACTCAGGTTTTTGTAAAAGACTGTCTGTCATACTGCATGGGGGAGTGTTAGTCATGGCGTAGACACGAACACGAAGTAATAGGTAGGCGGTATTGGATTCTGACTGTACAGGTAACTGTATGGAGGAAACCAAGCATGGAAATACCGTGCGAGGTCGGTAGAGCGAGGTCTTTCATATTCGGCCCAAAAATTATCTTTATTCTAAACACTGAAGATTAGTGCTCACCCAACATGATTAATCCCATTCCACATTCACTGTTTGAAAAAAAATAAGTTCTCGGTACAGGAACGCATGGTTTTTGCTTTTTGTCGTGGATGGTTGAAAAACAACACTTGATGATTTTTAGCTCATTCGTTAGGACTCCAGACTCAACTGCTGGGTACACAAACGTTTCTTAGGACATAACTGACTGAACATAAATTCAACTGAGCACATCAGCAGCAACATTTTCATATAGATTCAAAATTCGTAGAAATCCATTCCCTCAACAATCCGTGACCCAAACTACACGGTTTGCCGTTGTGACTGAACTACTTTTACACGATCTTTCCAAGTTTTATTATTTCGTGCTTTGCAGACCAAACGACTGCTATCCTGGACGTGGTGTCCTTCAACTAACAACAAAATGATTACTGGAATACCTGCTAGTAAGGTATGATGATGTGTACAGAGAGCAGGAAGAAATGCAAGAATCACTGGTGGCGTTACCCCAAAAAATAAAAATGCAAGAAGACAAAAGGGGAGCGAACGAGATGAAAAATAAAGATAAATGAGGATGCAGTAACCAATTCGTGTAAACATTTCAACATTGACCCCTTTCCACTGTACTTTTGGATTTGTCTTGTTTTGTTTTGTTTCACTGATGAGTGCTTGCCCTCTTCCCTCAAGGAAATTCATCCCCCAAGAAAAGAGGTTTGCTCCCCTCATAAAAATCTGACCGTGCACGTGAGCAATGCATAAACCTATACACTTCAAGCAAGTAATGTCGACTAATCCCTTGGAAAAGAAACATGCACTCACCCCCGACTGAGCCAGAGAATTCCCCGTCAAATTTGGCGCATTGGTTGATAACCAATCCTGTGAAGTTTGGACATGTCACCAGACTCCCGAGCTCGTTGTTCTGACAAACTTTGGTAGGCGCACAGACGTAGCATCTGATGGCAAGAGCTTCAAGGACAGAACAATCCGGAGTTCAAAGTGTACATTTAGCCGCAAGAATTTTTTTCTGGAACTCTGCACTCTTCTTCAATGAATTAAAAGTCTTTTACATTCCTATTTCGTTTAAGTGCTCCGCGGGCTCTGTTGCTTTGATGGTATCCAGGGAAGACACAGTTCGGTGCATAATTTTCCTATTCAAATTCCGAGCCATGAGTCCACTGACTGACAGTATTACTAAGAAAGGAATAATTGTAAATGCCTTCTTACTGCTATAACAAAAACAGCCACAAAGCAACAAAGAAGAGAAATCTATTCCAGCAAAATTTACAAAAATGCAGGACCTTATGGTGTACCTTGTCGACAAACAAACTTACCGTCACAAACATTATGGCTTTCTTCCTGGTATGATATCACAGTTTTGTTAATGAATATAGAAATACTTATCAGCATGAAAATCAACCGGCAGTACCCTTTGAAAAAGTGTACTATATAAAACTTGAAAACAGGGTTAAGTGAGACACAAATGAGTATTTTCTAGGTTTGCGTGAATGGATTGCATCTCCCTTTACGGCACATGAAACCATGTAATTGACTGCAGTGGCCACAAAAGGCCGCACATACAAGAAAGGAAGAAGGCAAAACAAATACATATCAGCAGTCACCAAACCCACTTCGAACTCAATCAACTCTAAACAGACTAAACTTAACCTGACCCTAAACAAGCAGCACAGTAATCCCCAACAAACCAGTTCCGCGCCATCAGCCCAACTGCGCCCAGTTCAGCTCAACCAAGCCCAACCAGTCACTCCATCTCAGCTCGACATCCCATCCCAATCCAACAAAGCAATAATAAGTACCCGTTCCAGCATTCCATCTCAGCCCCATCCCAACCTGAAAAACCCAACCAACCCTAAAACTAAAAACAACGTAGACTCCATGACAAAACCATACGTAACAATGCCAAAATAAACCAATTGAACCCCGTAAACAAAACACTGCAAAGCAATCCTGAATATGCTATACACAGATTACAGCGAGTTTCTAACGCAAAATATATGCCCTTTGATTTAAATAACGGGTTTTGCCCTTACCCAACGTATATATTGATAAACGTTGGGTAAGGACAAAACCTGTTATTTATAATTAACATCTTCCCAACGCAAAAAAATACATCTTGAAAATATCCCATTTGGATAACCCTGAAGAGAATCCCACAGGTCCAAGAAGTTTCCATTGTGCTGCACAGGACAGGACACAGTCCAATTTTGCTCTTTTCAGAGTGGCCACCAAGACTGATTTGTACAGGCTCCTTCTATTTTTCGGCGCATTTAACCAATGAAGAAATGTAAACCTTCAACGTTCAGCCCACAAGCATTTTACGTGTATTTTCATTCAAGATGGGCCTCCTAGACAAAACACCATACAAAGGCATACACGTCAAGTTTGGTATTGAAAGCAAAATCTCTTCAATATGTCATTAAGAATGAGTTGTTTGCTGATAATGCCAATCTTTACTGCAACCCACAATGACATAGATCTGACCTTTGTCAGGAAATGTATACATACCGCCAGATGCTGACACGGCAATGAGGAACACACTAAGCAGTTTACAGTCTGCGTGAAAGAAAAAAAAAGAATAGATGTATTAATCAACAGAAACATGCAAAAATTGAATAAGCTTGGGTGTTAAGCTTCCTGGGGACTTTGGACCTGAAAATGTACGTGCTTGTTTTGTTGCCTTGTAACTGTGTTCTTTTTCTAAACGCTGGGAGGTACAACTGAACTTAAAATCTAAACACGGTGTTCATTATAATCAAGTGATAATCCATTCTGCATCCATACATTATACGTTATATCAGCTTAAATTAATCAGTTACAGCATGAGATTTGAATTTCATTAGCACTAAAGGGTATTGGCGGAAAATAATGGAATTCGAATTTTAAGCCGCTATAGACAAGCGTCCCCGATGATAAGCACTTAATATGTTATACACACGTTAAACGCACTGCGTGTTCGAATGTTTAAATGTTTAGTTTATAAACACGTCAAACGTTCTTGGGTTTTACTGTGCATAAAAACGAAAAATATTCCAAATACCAGCTACTACAGCAAATAAACACGAAAACACAAGGCGCATTTGAATGGGTTGTACCATGAACCATTAATTTAGTTAGCTAGGGTAAAATGGAATGTGGTTATTATTCTAAAAATAGGTGGACTGAATTTACAACATTATGTAGGCTTTTGACCTCAGCCAAATAATCATCAGTGATTTGAGCCTATAAGCCATAACGTAGGTCTGAAGCACTTTCGTTTATTTTCTAGAAATGCCCATCTTATCAACTGTAGTAGCAAGACACCGTGTCTGAAACAAAGGTTATTGCTCAAAGTCACGGACGACACGGCACAGACATGGGGAGGGCACAAACGTTGCATTTATTTCCCATTTTACTGTAGCATTAGGCTTGTTTTGTTGGTTCTTGTCCTCCCATTAAATTCATACAACCAGATGACGACCAACTATTTTATTAGGTAAATTCGCGCGGCTTTTCTCCCGCTTATCTCAGTCAAACGCTTCCCGACGACTACAATTGGAACGACATCGTCAATAGACCAACTTTGGATTAAGGCCAAAACATTCCCGCCTTTTCCAACGAGAGATGCACACTGGTAACCTTTCTGGTCAGGGCCAATCGACTCCAGTTCTTTGTGTTTACATGCTGACCCCACATTCTTGCGCGGCAGAAACTAGGACTAAAGTGTACATTGACTAAGGGTTCGCTGAACTCTCTCCAGGCGGGGGGGGGGCGCTGAAGCTACAGCGTGTCCGTTCGATATGCTTACATTTCCTTCCTGAATGGTGGGGCTACATTTTGGAATTTCTACGTCTTTCTCGAAGAAAGAGAAATAATGTGACCAGAAAAAAAAATCGCCTGTCTTTCATTACCCCCACTCCAAAGTTTAAAACTCCCGCACGAATCCAAAAGCTGCCAAGAAATTAGTGTCACATCCAAATTCTTTTTATGACGTATATTTCTTCGACGTTAGTTTTTATGAACTATTTTTTTCCAAGATCTTTCTTAAGAGATTGTTTTTCCAAAGTTCGTTTGTTGGGGACATAATACTCTCCAGTTTGTGAAGAAAACATTGTTTCTAGATTTGGAAGCAAATTGTTTTTATGAGATATATTTCCAAATTTGTTTTGGGTGTTATATTTTTTAAGTTTGGATTTTCAACAGATTATCTCAAATCTGAATGTATGTACAACCTGAAAATTAACTCAGAAAAAGCCCATATCAAATACAAACACATTTCATCAAAAGTGCATGTTAAAAAATTAACAACGGTCAAGTCTTCATGTAACTGGCTTCTTTTGGGAGTGAGTGCAATTTTTCTGCGGTGACTTGCTTTTGTTTTGGGGTTTTTTTTGTACGAATAAGTGTCGCAAAAGTACATTTCATGCAGATGGTTATACATTTCTTTATAATGCAGTTAGTAATGAAGAAGTCCAACAAATTTGATTTAAACTAGTCATGTCATTGTCAGGCGGACTGGTGTATAATTCCTACGTATCGTGAAAGTCAACAGATTTTCCTGAGTGGAGTTCAACAGCGGTCAAGGTGCCTTTTTCTTATGATGCAGCAAACTGTACGGAGTCTTCGTGCCGGTGTATGTGTTTTAGTAATGATGATGAGGTAATGTCCTTTGTGAACAGCACGCGTTTACTGCTTTTACTGCAGTCTGAGGTCGAACTCATCTGTGTAAATAGCTCGTTTCAGTCTCTAATGAACGTTAAGGAACAAAGAAGTAAACTCACCCATGGTGCTATTCAGTTCAATACCAACGAAAGCTGCGATTTTGCTGCAGATCCACAAAACCCTCCTCTTTTTTCTGGGTGGAATACGATTGTGATCACCAGATGTCACACGACGCTATCAGTGTTCTGCGTATGTTGCGTGGGTGCGGCTTTCTCTCGATATCTCACGCCAGGCTCTTGATATTTCTCACCAGGGAAAAACCCTAAAACAGCAACACCACCACTACTAGACTGGTTCCCGTCCTGTACCTAGTTTTCAGACGTCCTCCGAAGTTAGCCCGTGTCCGAAACAGGCTTCCAGAGCTATGGCTAACTCTATTGCCTGCGCGTCTCAGCTTATTTCCGATGGAGTGAATACCTAGACCTAGCTCTAGACAACAGATTCGGATGCAGCCTTAGGGACTGCACGCATGTTCACCCCTTCCACATAGTTTGTGCGCATGCGCAAAAATTCTGCAAAGTCGTCACTTTCTGTTGCTTGTTAAAATGGCGACGCCAGCCAGCAAACGACTAAAATCCATCTGCGATTATGTTCCGTATTGGGTAAACGTTTGCTGAATTTATACACGGACCAGAGAAATATAATCAAGCTTCAGATTTTATTTTGTGCTGTGTTTCTTGTTAATCAAAAGTGACATTTTGCAGAAAACGGAGTAAAAGATGTTTGTGTAGGCCTACATTACATTTCCGAACGTAAAAAGGGGTATTTTAAAATAGAAACAAATGTGGAACACAGACAGCAATACTGCTGACAGTAAGAGAAAAAACAGTCATTTGGAAAAGCGGGGATAACACAAAAAGTGTAGAAAGTTTATTCCTATAGGCTTAGAGCCTAAAAAATGACCTCTGATGGTGCGCTTCCGGAACCCTTGTATATAGGAAACATAACGTGCAAAACTGTTCAAATTTTTTATGTTTTCTTTTTCGTTCAGTTACTTCTTAAACTCTACTCCTAAAAGGGCCTTTTGCAAGATATTTGCTAGCATATCAATTCGTGGAAACTAGAAAGTTACTTGACTTAAAAGAGAAATACCTTGCCAAAAATTGACGTAGGGCCTATCACTTCCGAAAATCTAAAATACTTGAAGAGCAGTGCAACCTGGTGGTCTCGTACGTAATAGGAATAACGATATCTCAATTGTTAATAGAGATATCTCTATTAAGAATAGGAATATCTGTACACGCGGATTAAATGCTAAATTTGCACGCCATAGTCCAGTGAGGACTATTATAATCACCTTCTTAATCAAATTATTTAATAACATTGTGAAATGGGTGAGGGTTGCCACCTTAGACTCTGTTGCAGTTTGGGAGCTGTGTTGCTTAGTATGGCAGTAGAGATTGTTGTTGTGTAAGTCTTCCCTGTTGTGTTGTATGATTGCAAAGATTGTCTTTGCTAATGTGATCAACACTCATTAGTTATAACCCTACGGGTTACCTGTTGACTTGAGGGTTACATGGTCATGAGGGTTACCCTTGTTACTGTGAGGGTTACCCCGGTTATTGTGAGGTTTAACCTGATCACCTTTAGGATTACCCTGGTGTAGGTTGAGAATAACAAGCTTCCTAATTAATCACGCAAGTGGTGCAGCTACCCTTGAGGATCATACATAATTAATTGCCTTTGTGTGTAAACGACGACTGAAGCTCTGACAATGAACAAACCAATCATATAATTGCCTTTGGAATCACTGGTCACAGTGAGATTTAGTCCAGTCCTGTATCACGTGTATTGGCATTATTGTAACCTTAATTGACATTGGAATCAGTTACTTAATCACAGAGCGGTGGTAAAGTTCCACCAAACGAACACCCCTAAGGCATAGTCCACCGTTTGTTAACTGATATCCCCCCTTGCGTTCGGATAAAGCTGCTCATTCTCGCGTTTTCTTGGATTTCCACCCGAGTGTTTAAGTTAGAATGATTTTTTAGCGGTGGATTTTTTAGTGGTGGTAATGTTACAACTGTTTTTGTGTCTGGGGTCTTTTACTAATCAAGTGTTTAGTTTACCCCCCCCCCTGGGAAAAACATTGAACCATCCATATGCCTCAAGCCTATGGCTAACTGGTAGATATTGAGGTATAACTATGGGGTTACAGGAATGTCTTGCAATATACGTGTAATGATATTGTTTTGTATTTGAGCCAAATCTACTTTTTTTTCTACACCTCCACTTTCTCATCCCCTTGAAAGGCAAAGGAATGGTTTGTATTTACGCGTCTCATGCTGAACTCGACGAAGTTCTTCAACCTCAGTGTATGACGGATTTAATCCCTTGATGGCAAAAGGAGAACGAAATGTGCGGAACGTAAGTTTGACAACCTGAAAACTTTCCATGAAAAGGGCACTTGTGATTTCTATTGTTTGCCTTGAAAAAGCTCACCTACATTGCAAAAACCAACGCCCATCATAAACGCGTCTTTGCGTTAACTGTAAACACGTTTCCATTTAAAAGTAATCAGCATGTTGGAAATAAACGTGTTTCGGCGTTACCACCCGATAAACGTGTTTTTGTGTCTTGTTATTAACACACAATGTGTCATTTTGATGACATTTATTAACACATCAACATGTATTTGTTTTTTAAAAACCACGTACACGTATTCAGCTTTAGAATATTAACACCACAACACGCTCATTAAAAATGTTACCAGGATGACGTTTTATTAAAGACGTTAAAACATTCACGTTTGGTTTTACAGTGTACTGGGCTGGTAATAAAAACCACCTTTGTTATGAAAGTAACAATCCTGCACGATGTTTACAGATCATTTCAGACATTACCTATTCCTTGGAATCATTCCACTTTATGTTATAACTGACCGATTGCAACATTTATTGTAATTAAATGCTTCTATTTTCCAGGCTGATGTCAATAAAGTGGTTGTGCTGACTGATCCGCTACAAGTTTGCAAAGTAACCTGTGATGAAACAGGTTCGCAGCAAGTTTAAGTAACTGAGTTCGACCGAAATGGTAAGGTGTTTGACTTGGGATGGAATGGGTCAAATTACACAGGTAACTGCTGTAGCAGGATGGCAACTGGTTCGATGATTCAAAAATGTGGCACACTACAAAATCTGACAAAATGATTAGTGAACTCAGTGACAGCTGGAATGTTGCAATCTAATGAACCCTTGAGTTGCATTTCACTATCTCTTAGTATTTAGACAACTTGAAACTTAAGGTGTGCTGTGGTAGCTTTGTGTAATCCTGACTAAACGACCTCACACGCGATTACATCATCAGCATGTGCATTGAGCACGCTACGGAGACCAGCCACAATAACGGCTTGACGGAGACTCCGTCATCACCGCTGCCGTTACCTCCGCCTTTACCGCCGGTCCCGTGGTCTTTGCTGATGTTTTTGCCGTTGCAGCCGTCACTGTCACAGATGCACAAATCGCCAAGGATGACAACCTCAGATTGAGGAGCGGTGGGAACATCAGTTACCGAATCAAGGAAATTATAGCCCATCAACGGAACGGCAAAGTCATCCGAAACGCAGCCGACTCCGATATCCTCCAATGATGGGTTGCAATTGCGAATGATACCCTCGAATGTGACTCCATTGTCTAAAATCAAAACAAAACAAATTGACAAAAACATTATGCTCTAACTCAAAACGGGAGGGACAAACTTGTATTCAATTTACGTCTTTGACTAACTAGAACTTTCATTTGGTGTTATTAAGCAACTTCACTATCCTCAGATCGAAAAAGGGTTTCTTAGTCCTGACGGTATGAACGGTGAATTGGGAGCCACGTTTCTCGGTTCGAATTGACATTGTAGCATTTGCATGGGTGACAAACCTACAATAGTGCCGGAAAAATTCATGCACGCCACCGTCACCAAACCATCGACGACTGGGCATGTCTGGATCTCTCCTGTCTCGCCCTCTTGACAGAAACCACCCGCTTCACAGACGTAACAGTCGATGGCAAGTCCTGAAGTAAAACAAAATATGAAACGGTAAATAGGTTTTTCCTGCCCTTTCAATTGTTTGCTGTTATGCCATTAAGGATGGACACTGTTCGTTTAGGGGGTGTCATACGTCATACCAAAACTTTTCTTT